AAGGGAATGAAACAAGAAAATATTTAAGTGGCAGGAAAATTCAAACAAGAAGCCCGTCCAACCCGATATTACAGTTAAAATTTGTTAACAAAGATCTATGACAAGTTGAATCATGAGCTTGAGAATTGACTGATAACGACCAACTTGCAAACGAGTTTTTATTTTTTACATTTCCACTAGAAGAACATATTTTCTAAGACCCACTGCAAGCATCAACTTAAGTTTACTCACTGCGTCAAACAGACATGTACAACTGCTCAGAGCTTGCAAAACGAAAAAAAAATTATTTGGTTTGGACTTTTACGTCAAATATCAAGGAATTATAATCAGAAGTCATGAAAATGTATAGGAACTCACGCTGCTGAAGTACTAGCATCCACTATGTTACTCTTTGAAGGCACATGAAACTTTGACAAAAATGGAAGCACCAGTAGATCTCCCATGGAACATCTTTGGTTATCACTTCTGTTTTTTTCACCTTTCTTCCGCTTAAATGCAGCTGAGGAAGTTTTATTTTTCGTAGATACTGGTGGTCCCTATGAGAATTGGATCACAATTTATAAGAACCTAAGAACAAATAGGTGAAATAAATTATTGACCAACCATATTTTTACCTTTGACAGGGCAAGGACACCAAGCAAGTTCATAGCACTTTTCCTTGCTGTAAACAAGTCCTCTCTCCACCCAGAAATTTCTTCCTGCGAAATCAAAGTGATATTATTCCTAACTTCTAGACCATAGACATAAAAGTATTACGTGTAGAGAGAAAGAAAGATAGGCTACGTACTAGTTCAGATGGAAGGTTTTTCCTTATGAATTCATCTGCATCTTCCTCCCACTCAGATATGTCCTACTTGCAAAAGAAACCCAGAAGAGCAGTAAAGTTTCTGAAATAAGAGCCCTGTAAGTAACCAATGCGTGAAACACAGATTACAATCTAAGGAGAGCATACCCTCTCATTCAGAACCAGGGCTGGAAAGATTGCCGAGTCCAACAAAAATGAAAAATGAGGTGAAAGTAATCTCCATCCCTGTTTTCAAGGTACCAATTATTTGCCTTCAAACACATTTGATAACTCTTTTTAGATTTGCTGTAAATATTCTAACAACTTACAGGGCCAATTTCCATGACACGTGAAATTACATCAAAAGCAACTGATATGATTCTCTCAGTTAGGCATCCGAGCTTCTGCACATAGTAGTAGGCACTTATAGTATTAGATTAAGAAGAAAAATAACATTTTGAGGAGAAGCACAGCAATTTTTATGGAAACTTCTTAGGCACTAAAAACCAATTTGAAGTGCTAAAAGAATGGCAGCTGGTCTAAGCTATCACAAACTAGGAAAGTCGATACATACACTGATGTTTGAGCTATGTTTGACAATCTTCATTGAGCAGTTTACTATCTCCGGCACCAACCTGCAAATATAGATATATTAGATGTGGGAAGTAAGCATTGCTAAGAGGGATTCTGTAATGTGTTTGCATACTTGTCAGTGTATTTTCTATGTCTGCTGACAAGTGTGCCAAAGAGGAGCAAACTTCTTTTCCCAGCTTTCAATCTTAGCAAGTACCCATCAGAAGGAGTAACACTCCAGTCAAAACTCAAGGAGTCCAGAATTCTGATCATGTCTTGACAGAGTGAACCGAGCAGAGGTGACAAAGCAGACGGCATATGGGACTTCACCTACAACACTAAACAACTTTAACAAAACAACCACAGTAGATAGTATAACATGTAAACGAAAGAAAATATGATAAATTACGTTTAATAAAATCAATGGAAATTTACAATCTCCCATACTGGAAACTTGGTCTATTAGCAATATAAACTGAAGGTGTGACTTACTGAAAAGTATAGGCATTTGCAAATGATGTGGAGTGTCTTTTCCATTTCCAGTTCACCACATTCATGAGTAGTCAAAGCCTGCTTGAGAATCATACCATGTATGAATATATCTTACATAACGGAATTAAGCAGATAAAGAACAAGAAAACACTAAGGGAAAAGGAATAACCTTGTCGATGAGACGATGGAATACTGACATCAAGGGTACAAGAATCTCTTTCGCAATACTCTCCAGCTGCTGTGGTACTGGCTCCTTAACAAGTTTTGGTTGCAAGAAGTACTGCAAAGCAAACACACGAAAATATGCCGATGTTCATTTAAAAGACCAGACTGAACAAACTCACAACCAACCATAATATGATGGAAAACAGTAAAAGCTATAGGCAATGCAACAAATACCTGAAAAGGCTTTACAACTGTGAGCAATACCATCAGAGCGTTCACAGTACTCCAGCTAGAGTCTGAACTGCTTATCAAACTGCTCTTCTCGATTGCAGAACGCAGCTCCATTACAAGTTCAGGCCATGCATTTTTCTTCACAAATTCTGACACAACAACAATGTGGAACTGGCCACAAATGAAGTAAAATGAAGGTGTGAACAAAAATCATCTTAAAATTTACGGGACGAAGAGGTTGAGATAATATTAGCAACATCTAGATGAAGATAAGCTCGTCCTACCAGTTCAAGTAGAACTTTAAGAAGTGCAGGCTCTGCCTGAAGCGAAGCTAGGAGGAGCTGATCCTTAAACTCCTTGCTCACTTCTGAGATTGTCCCTTCAGTCCCAATGCTCCTTCTGGTGAAATTCTTCAGATACGTTGCAGCAGCAACTCGCTGACTTGGATTTTCACCTCCTGTCAATCAGAAAAAAATGCACACATTTAACTCAATTGTCATCGAGAAACTACTTCCACAAACTCCAGCACACACATAAATCATATGCTACAGCCAAAGGGGCTTGTCGATTTGGATTAGGCTAATACAAAAAAAGCAAAAAAAATCACAGATATCATAACAAAATTCATGGACATGGGGATGAAATGAAGTCAATTTACAGAACAGAAATAATACGCTTGAAATTGGGTTTTTTTTATTCTCAGAAAGAGCCGAACCAATTCATAACTCAACAAACATCATGAAATCGCTTACACTGTGAAGTCAACCAATGTAACCCTAATTGATTCGGAAAAAAACAAAATTCCGTGTTTTCAGCAGAATTATGTTCTTAAGAGCAGAACGAACGGTTAGGTAATCGGGTAGAAATAGTAGACAAAGAGAAAGCTTACCGGAAGCGATGGAGAGAAGACGATAAGGGAAGTGAGGGAGCTCCGTAGAGAGTCGATCCAGAGCCTCCGTCGCCTCGCGCACAGCAACGCCATCGATGGAGGTAAGCGTCTGGTCAAGAAGCCGAACAACCTGAGCTGAGTCGTCGCCGGCGACGAACATTGCGTTTTTTTTTGTTTCTTCTTCTTTTTTCGGCCTTTATTTTTTCTTTCAAATGAAAATCTCCTCCTGGCTTCTTTTTCACTGATGAATTGGGAAACACCAGTGGCGGGAATAATTCAGGTTAATTTATATATTACCGGGAAAATTAATTTAAACGACAGTTGTTCCAAAAACGATAGTATTACGATAATATTACTGATCGATTACTAATTTACCGCACTATTGAAATCAGGTTAAGCTGATAATTTGTTATGTTCACATATGGTGGTGAATGCAAAAACTGGAACTTCATTGGTGTTACCGTTGCATCTATTTTAAGCAAATTTATCTTCGAAAAAAGGATCAGCTAACCAATGTGGTGAAAAATATATCATTGGAAATGACTTTTCCATTAGCCAAAAATGATGATAATGTGAAAATGAGAATCTCCGATGTAGTACGTACACGTCTTCTTCATCGTTGTAAAGTATTATAATACCCACTGTTTTTAGTTGTAAGATTTGTTAATGTTTAGTATTAAAATCAAAATGTTACTAGACTAGTGTTTTGTAACAAAAAAATGTCTTCAATAAGCACTGGTTTTCAATGACTTTAAGTACTTAAAAGAACAAATATCAAGATCTCATTGTTTTAAACGAAACTATATCAAATTTCGATTTAAAAAGTTATAACAACTATCATAAATACAACTAAATAATCTAGAAACATAGTACAACTCAAATCATTTCAACTTTGATTTAAGTCTGCCTGATATTCCCTGATAGAATCTATCATCCACCTAGTTCAGTTTATGAACAGTATTGGCAACGCGGTTTGGGTTTTCTATATACAGCTTTGTAGTGACTAGTGAGAATGTGAAAGTGGAAAGTCTTGCCCTTTGGAACCATGCGGGCCCGCTGGACCAAGGCCGTAAAATAAAGAACCGACAACAAAAGTTTGATCCACACTCTCTATGTGTGTACTCTCAAGTTCTACACATGATTCATGATATAAAATGGTTGTAAATTTGAAATCAGCATGTGGTAGATAGGTTTCACTAATTTATCAATTGTTTCAATGGAGAATGTTAACATACTGTTATAAGAAGTTTTAGAACATCGACCAAACGCAATGGTTCAGTATCTTGGACAATGGACGCTCCCAAGTTGTTCATCATTTTGCATGATGCAAATTACTCCCAAGTATTTTCTTCTGATCTCACCCCAATATACATTTTTTTTGTTTTGTTGTATAATGGGTTTTCTTTGCATGTTATGAATCAAATAATAATATCTTTCATTTAAACTAATAGTAAATGTTTGATAACTTCTTTATTATACTGTGATTAAAATAGGTTGATCAAATAGACATATATATCATGTAAGAAACTAATAGGGTAAAATCCATCCGACGTATCCAAAAATGTATAGACATCTATAACATTTTGTATTTTTTCAATATTAATTCAACTTTTGACCATTGTGTTATCAAATTTAGAAAAGAATCACCAAAAACTAAATACATAACATACAAAATAGGAAGCAAAAAGACCACAATTTCAAGGTGATATTCAAAATTTTGTTAGGACTTAAAGACAATAGTTCACAAATATATATATACACCATACACAGATTTTGTTTTTAATTTTATTTGATTTTCAGGAAAAGCCTTCTAGATAGAGAAAGGAAAGAGAGATTAAGACAGAGAACAAGAAACAAAATACAACCATGACTAGGCTCTTCTTCTTCGCTTTCCTCTATACAGTAACAAATCTAGCACTTCTGCCATTAACAGCCACAGGAGCAACATCATGCCGAACATCCTGCGGCAGCATCCCAATAAACTACCCGTTCGGCATCGACCAAGGCTGTGGATCTCCCCAGTTCAACGGAATGTTCAACTGCTCAACGGATCTGTTTTTCCTCACTCCTTCCGGGAGCTACAAGGTCCAGAGCATCGATTACCAGAAGAACACGGTGGTGGTCTTCGATCCGGCGATGTCGACCTGCTCCATCCTCCAGCCTCACCACGATTTCAAACTGACGGATATCCAGAACGCCGTCATAAGGCCCTCGTACGACACCGTTTTCGCCCTCCTCAACTGCTCCACCGACTCGCCGGTCCACAATCGGTTCCGGAACCTCTGCTTCAATCCCTCCGGCCACTCCTGCGACGAGCTTTATAGCTCCTGCACTTCGTTTCGCATCTTCAACACTACCTCCCCCTCTGGTATGAATTCAGTTTTGATCTTTCTGTTTCTCAATTAATCGATTTCGTAGACGAGTGAAATTCTAATTGAGAAATTGAATTTGTTTTCTAGGTTATTGGCAATTTCTAGAGTTTGAATTTTGATCCCTGAATTTGTAGGAATTTAACGGGAGACGTTTTCCCCGAATTTTTTGAACTGTTTTCTAGGTAACAGCACGGTGCGTACGACGCCGTATTGCTGCTTCACTAGTTACGATACGGTGAAAGCGATGAGTTTGAACATCTTGGATTGCTCACATTACACGACGGTGATTGACAGTGGAAAAATGAGAGACGAGGGACCGTTGGATTGGTCGTACGGGATCGAGCTTTCGTACTCAGTGCCGGAGATTGGCTGTGACCGTTGCCAGAAGTCAGGCGGCACGTGTGGTTTTGACGCCGATACAGATATCTTTCTCTGCCAATGTCCAACTTCCAACAACAACCCTACGAGAGAATGTGGTAATCACTGAAAAAACCCCTCTGATTTTTAGTTACGACCAAACAGAACATCAAACTTGTCTGATTCTTTTCTGTGTTACTAAAACATGTTAAATGTTTCTTCTTTTTTTTTTTTCTGTTTTAGGTGGAGGTATGACTAATCACGGAAGCTGCAATTCCGTAAACTTATACTATATGACACTTCTTTTGGCTATGCTAATTTCTTTTATTTACGCTATTTTGTGATATATTCGTATCTCACTGTTTCTAAGAGTTTTAAATTGATAAATATAAGGATTTACTTGATTAAATTCTGAGAAATTTTTCATTCATTTCATTTTTTTCTACAGTATTGTCAGCGATTTTAGTGACACCAGCTGAAAAGTAGTTAGTAAAATAATATGCACTGTAAAGTACTCTGACTAAGCGCATGTGGATCACAGTATAAAGTTTTTAGAGAACTCGTATTTTATTAATTAAAATTCAAAAACTCAGTACACGCCAAAAAGTTCAATTGATAAGCTCTTAAACGCCAGATTAACGACTAACAACATATTTTGAACATTACACTTTTCAATTGATTTCTATATTCATTATGACCGTTGGAACTTGGATTAAGATATCAACGACATTTATTATCGTCACCGCACCACCACTTTTGTTTGTAAGTGGGACCGTTAAGCTCCCTTTATTTCATTGTAAGTTTGTAACCACTTGCTTTTGTTTTCCCTTGATAAATATTAAATCATCACCAAATTTGAAAACCGAGATAATGTAAGGGCCTATTTGTATTATCGAAGAAGTAAGAGGATTCATCATCAGAAAAAATTAAACTTTCTAATTTTGAAATTCCACTCCCCCCAGTTCAAATCTGAGCTTTAGAGGCAACAGTACACTGCACTTGATACTTCAAAAAAAGTTGGGTAAGCATTAATTTCATCCTCAAGCTTCTGGGCAAGTCTCTTCGTGTCCCAGCAATGAGCAGACTGAGCGTTTGAAGCTGAATCCTCTTCTAATTCTTTCCGTAATCCGTGCATGTTGAAAGTCCGTACAAGCTAGTAGTGCTGAATCTAATCATCTATCATGGCCCGAAACATTCCCAGAATCGAGATGACGGAATCTGAAGAGAACGAGTTCGCGAGTCTGTCTCTATTTTCGCCGTCGAGAGCTCCTCTGAATTCGATACCGGATCCAAGTCAACTGCAGAAGGCGAATCATCTCTCCGATTCCGATTTGGTTCAGAAATTGGAAGGTATAAGAACGCAGCACCATCGAGCACTGGGTCAGGAGAAAAAATTCGAAACTTTGGAAGGTAGACCTGGAAATGCGCATGATTCGAACCCTAAGATTGTGGGTCGCAATGTAAAATCACGTTCGGAGCCAAATTCTGCGCAGAGTACCCCCAATAGGAACGGTGGTAGGGTTTCTCTCGGCGGTGGTTGTGCTACCGGCGCGAGAGTTGTTCAGTCTTTCGGCGGAAGAGGAACGAGCTCCTTCTCTAGGATTCCAAGGGGGATTTCCATGGCTGATTCTGTTAGCTTTGCTCCACATTTTGAGCTCGATGAAAACCATTCGTTTTGGAAAGAGCACAATGTGCAGGTTTGTGCATTTGTTTACGAGATTGTTGATGCATTTGGTTGTTTTGAAACTCGCTAATTTAGGCATCCTTTGAATTGGTGTAGGTTTTGATAAGGATAAGGCCATTAAGTACAATGGAAAAGGCTAGTCAAGGACATGGCAGGTGTTTAAAACAGGAGAGCCCACAAACATTGGCATGGTTAGGCCATCCAGAGACCAGATTCACCTTTGATCACGTTGCAAGTGAGACAATATCTCAGGTAAAGCCTCAATTTTGAATTCAGATTGTTCCACTTGAACGCCAACAATAGCTAGTTTCAGAGGCTTTATTTTGGTGCTATGTGTATACTGTTGATTTTTCAGGAAAGACTCTTTCGTGTTGCTGGACTACCAATGGTGGAGAACTGCTTGTCTGGTTACAATAGCTGTGTGTTTGCCTACGGTCAGGTGAGATCATAAACGGTGAATATTTCTGCTTATTAGAGTTTCTATGGTGCAAGATTTAGAAAATTGGTATCCTTTCATATAGACTGGTAGTGGCAAGACCTATACTATGATGGGAGAGATATCTGAGGCAGAAGGAAGCCTCGGTGAAGACTGTGGAGTTACTGCTCGTATGTTTGAGTATCTCTTCTCAAGAATCAAAATGGTATGTTACTTATTTCCTCTCGACGAATCACTGCAGTTCAATATATTATTGTGCTGAAAATGTGTTTTATAAACAGGAAGAAGAGGGAAGGAGAGATAAAAAACTTAGATTCAGTTGCAAATGTTCTTTTCTTGAGATATATAACGAGCAGATTACCGACCTCTTGGAGCCATCGTCAACCAATTTGCAAGTAATTCAATTTTCTTTTCTTCCATCACTTGAATTTTATGTTGCTTATTGTTTTGAAATAGATCATAACCTTGAATTCCATGTTTTAGCTCAGAGAAGACTCAGGAAAAGGGGTATATGTGGAAAATCTTGTAGAACATAATGTGAGAACTGTTAATGACGTTCTAAAGCTACTGCTACAGGCAAGACTTTTCCATACCATAATATGATGTTAAGAGTTTAAGTGTTCAAGTATTTAAGATGAAATGTTTTCCTTATGCTTCAGGGAGCAGCAAACCGGAAGATTGCAGCAACCCATATGAACAGTGAAAGCAGCAGATCCCACAGCGTTTTCACGTGTACAATCGAGAGCCTCTGGGAGAGAGATTCTCTAACTCATTCAAGATTTGCCAGACTAAATTTGGTCGATTTGGCTGGTTCTGAAAGGTAGCCAGTACATATTTTTTTTCTCTGGTTCCTTTTGCATCTTTGACTTCTGAAATTATTTTGGTTACATATACAGGCAGAAAAGCTCGGGTGCGGAAGGAGATCGCCTAAAAGAAGCAGCAAACATCAACAAATCCTTATCCACATTGGGGTAATCATATCAGATGCATTTTTGTCATGAATGTTTTCTGTTGGACATTGCATGCCAAGCCTCTCAGGATTCATGTCAAAATAATATATGGTTGATGGGGAAAATTGTTAAGAAACTGAAAAATATGTAATAGCAAAAATGGATGGCACGACTTTAATAGCTTTGAGGTGTTGACAACAGAAAAATGATTTCTGTGTAGTATGCTCTGTTTTCCTTAATCTTGTTCCAAAATGTTAGTAGCTACTAACACTATCCCGTTCATATGTAAATTTAGCTTGGTGATAATGTCTCTGGTGGATTTGGCACATGGGAAACATAGACACGTTCCCTATAGAGATTCGCGACTGACCTTTTTACTGCAGGTATGACCTAGTAGAGCACTTCAACCTTCATTTCTTTCTTGCAGCTGCATTGAGAGTTGAGACTAACTTCAGATATGGTTACAGGATTCTCTAGGGGGTAATTCTAAAACAATGATCATAGCCAATGTCAGCCCATCTCTTTGGTTTGTACCAATAGCCTTTCTTTTCAAATGGTTTTACCTAATGTGTCCTGCTTTGTGTATTTCTGATTATTATTGGCTTATTGCAGCTGTACAAACGAAACCCTCAGCACTCTGAAGTTCGCACAACGGGCCAAATTAATCCAGAATAATGTAGTTTGTGATTCTTCATTTATTACGAGGTCTTCTAAGAAGTTTGATTTGAATATAAGGTAATTTCATGTTTTAGGCTGAAGTTAATGAAGATGCCTCTGGGGATGTTACAGCACTCCAACAGGAAATAAGAAAGTTAAAGGTATTGACAAGCAAACCTCATTTCCTGCATATGCATGTGACGGTGATTCTAAAACCTTTTCTTATATTCAAACAGATCCAACTGTCCTCCCTTATGAAGAACCAAGATTCCTGTGGGGCTCTTTCAGACTGCACTGCTTCTCCTAAAGAAGTCAGATACTATGGTACATGTGAAGTAGCCCGAGAAACAAATCCAGACAAGTGTCACTGTCAGGTGCACAACTCACAGAGAGAAAAGGTAATTTGCAACAAATTCGTGGATATCTTGCGACAATAATACTGAACTGGCTTCATAACTGTATTGCAGGTGAAAAATATGGAAGATATTCTGATTGGGCCTCTCAGAAGAGAAAAGATTGCTGAAATTGCCCTTCAGACGTCCGAGGCTGAGATTGAGCGTATAGACAGCTTGGTTAGTCTTGCTACTAGGACATTCCACTTTCATAAAGTAAAAGGATGTAACCTTGATAGGTTCATGGTTAATGCAAAATGATAGATTCTATTTCGGTTCATCTAATATTTGATCATGTACTACAGGTTAGAGACATGGAAGAAGATGCTAAATGCATCAAAACAATGCTTAATCTTCGCGAAGAGAAAGTTGGAGAGATGGAAAATTCTGCTTCTGGTTCGCTGATGACAAAAGAGAATCTCATAGAAGAAAATAAATGTCTAAAAGGAGAGATCAAGCTGCTTCGGGAAAGCATTGACAAAAATCCAGAGTTGAGACGTTCGGCCTTGGAGAACACCAAGCTCCGGGAGCAGCTCCAACGGTAAATCACTTATTAAATGCTTTGGAAGAGTCTTCTTTTGTTGACGTCTTATGCTCTGATCTTGACTTCCTTTTCAGACATCAGAAGTTTTATGAGCGTGGGGAACGAGAGGCATTGCTAGCTGAGGTGACAGGACTACGCGACCAGGTTTGAGAATGCCTTTACCATATGGAATTTCAGCCTATGGTTTCAGTCTGAAATTTTATCATATATCATGCAGCTGCTTGATGTCCTTGGAGCAAAAGATGAGTCCTTTTCTACACATGTAATGAAGGTTTGGGGAAAATATGGGATTATGTTCTTAATTTGTTTCGTAGATACTGTTATTGCTGGTTCCTTACGCGTGAACTCTGATAACACTGTAGGATAACGAAGTGGAAAAGGAGTTGGAAGACTGCAGAAACAGGAACTCTAGTTTGATCAGGTAATGTATGAAATATAAATTTCTACTATCTTTTGTGAAGGTCTGCATATGTTATAAAGTCATTTACGCTGTTGCATCTTTTATTTTGTGTGGGATGGGGAATGGAAAATTTCTGAGTTCTCTAATACAATTTTATCCATAAGACTGTCATCCTCTTCTTGGAGTTATTTCATCATACGTCTATAGACCCTGTTCTACTACAGTTCTGATATGTCTTGTCTTAGTTGATAATATAACGTTGAACGTGAGACTTCTCCATTTCACATTGACATACAATGATTGGTTTGACTAAATCGATAGAAGAAGCCTGCTTTGGTATTGTCTTTATGTTCTTGTTGCTTTTTGATGCAGAGAACTAGATGAAATACAAGCAGGACTTGGAAGTTACTTGAAATTCGACCAAACACAATCCAACTTTGTAAGAATTCGGACTAATATATTCCCTTTCTTTTGCATAGATAAGATGGCTTAATAGAGTCGCTATATATAAATGAGAAGCACGTCTGATGCTCTTTTTCCTGTTGAAACAGCCAGAAACAATGTCAACTATAAGTGAAACCCGAGAGGAGGTGGCTTTTCCAGAGAGTAAAAACTGCAGTTACATCGATGGTGAATCAGGAAATCTTGATGGCAATAGGGTCTGGCTAATAGATGAATTGCAGGATGTGCTGGAGGAGAATGATAGATCCATGAAACTGCTGACCAACAAAAGCATTGTGGAAAGAGAAACCGTTCCTAGGATAGAAGGTTATGACATGGTTAATAACAAAGATACAGCAATGAAGACTGAGGAGGGGATAAACCGGTCAATCCTGCAGTGCAAGTTGAAGAAAGTAATTAAGGACCTCGAGGAGGCCAGAACCCTCAATTATCAATATGAAAAAGAGCGCAAGTCACAGATATCTCAGCAACAGGATATTGAAGTGGTCCGAGAGCAAGTTGAGACGGAAACAGCCAGAACAATTCTTGAGTTGCAAGAAGAGGTGATTGCTCTCCAGTCTGAATTTCAAGGAAGAATCTGTAACTTGACTGAAGAAAATCAATCGCTGAAAGATACTATCACTGCTAGAGAGGAAGAAATAAGAGCACTTAACCAAGACTGGGAAAAGGCCACCTTGGAACTAACAAATTTCATTGTGGACGGGTCTAGATCCATCAAAGATGCATCTACACAGATTGAAAGCATAGTATGTTCATTTCCACATGTGAATGTGTGGATATGTGATTATGTTGAGAAGGCTGCAAAGGATTGTCTAAGAAAGGAAGAAACAATCTTACTCCTACAGAAAAGCTTGGAGGATGCAAGGATATTGTTAGCAGAGATGGATTTCAAGCTGAATTCCTTAAAGGGCGCAACAATTGCCCTCAGTGAATTTCAACTTGGTGGCAATGCTGCAACCACTGAAGAGACTTTTCACGTGAGCACTGACAAGAAGAGCAATGAGGTAGACACGCTAGAGAATGACTTAGAAGCTAAGCAGTGTTCTATTCTGGAAGCAGAACGACATGTCAGGGCTTCCTTTGCTGTCACAAAATGGCTTTCTGATTCTAGAAATAAACAAGATCAACCGGTTAAAGAAAGCGGTTCACTTCCTAGTGCCGAAGGGAATGCTGATTTTAATTTGTCAAAGGATGGATATTTAAGTGAAGCAACATACCCGAAGGGTGATGAGCTTTCAACATCAAGCTCTGAATTTTCAAACTGCAGATGGCAACACGATTGTTCATTGAACACAGAGGGTCAAGGAGTTTCTGGTTCTGGATCTGACGCCCAGGAAATTCATAACAAGACTACAACAGCAGCTTTGATTGCTAAGAGTGGTTCTGTACATTGTGTTTACTGTGGAGGTATACTTTTGCTCGTCTCTTTTACGTTGAATATGTAAAAGAAGTAAATCTTGAATGACTAAACCATCAGTTTTATCTTTGATGAATGGAAATAAGCTTAAACTTTTGTTTTTTATGCAGAGAGGCAGTCATTAGAGAGGCCATTGACGATAACGAAGGAGATAGCTGAAACAGATTACAAACGCAGTACCACGGTAAGCTTTTATTAGCATCCTTTCCTTTTGTCAAGATATAATATAAAATGGGTACATGTCAATGAAAAGGTAAACCACTGGACTTGTATAAAAATGTAGCTTTCTTCTAAAATATACATGGGTCTTATGCAGAGAGTGGACCCTGTGAGAAATTTCTTCGACCGATTTGAGGCAGTCAGTGGTACCATGAAAGAAGCTGATCTTACTCTATGTGAATTAGTAAAAGCCAGTGAAAACTCCAAACATGAAACTGGAATGTGGCGGCAAACGCACGAGGAGCTAATGATTAAGGAGAAGAAGATGATGGATGATCTTGAACAGGTCAAGTCTACACTATCTGCTACTGAACAAGAAAATCAGATCTTGCGAAATCAAACACAAACGATTTTGGCAGACATGGGAAATTCAGTGTCTTTGCTTGAAGAATATCTTCTGGAAACGAAAAGAGGAGTAGGAGAAACATTAGAGGCTTTATTTTCCGATATCCTTTTAGCTAGGAAAGAGCTACTCCATTTGATTTCCAACTCAAGATCGTCAGTTGAAGAGATTGTATCTGAAAACATGGAGAGAGAGTTCACCATGTATGCAACTTACCAGTGCCACATTGGGAAACTGATGGACCAAATTTTGGAAAAGCAACAGTCAATGAAAACTAAAGCCATTGGCTACAGTGCTGAAGAAGAAGTCACCGAAAAGCTCAACAGATTTTACAGAGCTGATGTGGTTACAGGTTTAGAAAATGAAGAAGCTGTTCAGTCACATGAAAGCCTATTGAATGAAAATTTTCATTTGAAAAAGGAGTTGGAGAGAAAAGAAGCTTCATTCGAAGGTTTGCTTTTCGATTTCAGGCTACTCCAGGAATCAGCATCAAATAACAGAGATATCAAAGATGAAATGGATGAGCTGTTTGAGGCGTTATGCAAAGTTCAGCAAGAGCTGGAGCTGAAAGCAAGTCAAGTTCAAGATCTCTTTGTTCATAACGAGAATCTTGAAAATTGCTCCAGTGACTTGAAAACAGCTTTGTTTACGTCGAAGTCAGATCTAGAGCAGGCCAAAGAGAGGATACAAGTTCTTGCGGAGCAGAATGATGAGTTAAGCGTCCTCGTTCGTGACCTCTGTGAGGAAAAGGTTACAGCAGAAGAGGGATTGGAAGAACACAAAGAGCTTATCAAAAGGTTGGAGCAAGAAATCCTTCACTTGACTACTAAAGCAGAAAAGCAACTGCTTTCCGCGATCAAATCCATCGAAGAAAACTTGAAAACGACAAGCGATGAGAAAGATCAACTTGTTGAGGAAATATGTTCGCTGAATGATAAGCTTAAGTTGGCGTATGCTACAGCTGATGAAAAAGAAGCAGTTGCCTTAGAGGCTCGTCAGGTATGTTACTTGGAGCCTTTTATTTCTAAATGAATCATTTGATCCTTCGCAACTGAGGGTTGACAGGAAGTTGAATTTATTCTTTATGTAGGAATCTGAAGCAAGTAAAATATATGCTGAGCAAAAGGAAGAGGAGGTCAAGATTCTTGAAATTTCTGTCGAGGAACTTGAGCGTACTGTAAATATATTAGAAAGACGGGTTAGTTTGCTTTGTTTGCAAATTCTCTGTGTCTGATAGTTATATATTTACTGCCAGTCTGATGCATAAACTCTTATTTGGCTTCCAGGTATATGATATGGATGAGGAAGTTAAAAGGCATCGCACCACCCAAGATTCATTAGAGACAGAGCTCCAAGCTCTCAGGCAGAGATTGTTTAGATTTGAAACCTTAACTGGCACTGTAGTCACAGCCGATGAAGGCACAGAAGAATATGAGAATCAGATATTCAGGTCAGCCATCCTTGTTCTATTCAAGATATTAGTTTCTCTTCTATTCCTTTTTACTGAGTTTGGTTACTACAGGTCAAAAGAGCTGCAAGGAGCGCATTGTCAAATACAACTCCTTCAGAAGGAAGTAGCAGAACAAACCAAAGAGGTGTTTTATATCTTATTGGATAGCTCGGCTCAATTTTTTCATGAAATTTCCTGATATTTTTGCAAATGATAATCGTTTTGTTTCTTTACTTCTACCTTTGTCTTTGCCCACTTACAGATCAAACAGCTAAAAGAGTACAACTCCGAAATTTTACTGCATTCTGAGGCCCAAGCATCTAAGTACCAAGAGAAGGTATTAGATTTGTAGACTTCAGCAATTCTCAGCACTAAGCTTGATTTATGAATGATTTAACTTTTGCGGGTAACTAGTTTCCGTGCTGCACATTTTGCATATATTTTTGTGTCTCTGTTGACATTCTTGTTAAAATATTTCTTTGGTTTGACAACATAAGTTATTAGTACGTGGAAGTGTTATTTCCTTAATTTGTAGCTCATATAACATCATCGGTTCCAATCTTAACAGTATAAGACTCTGGAGGTCATGATACGAGACTTCAAATTAGAGGACTCAACTTCGTCAGCTGCAGAGACCATATCACACAAAACTGAGAAAAGCTCAATCAGGACCAGAGGTTCAGGTTCACCCTTTAGATGCATAGTTGGGTTGGTCCAACAGATGAAATTGGAAAAGGATCAGGAACTGACCATGGCAAGGCTTCGTGTTGAAGAATTGGAGTCATTGCTAGGTGTTAAACAGAAAGAGGTGCAGCCAGCTTCATTTGATTGTTCTTTTCTTTTGGAGCGCTTGCAGATCTTTAAATGAATGTTCAGTCTTGATTCGATTTAGAGTAATCCTTCTATATGTTGTCATGCTGGAACAGATTTGCACATTGAACACGAGGATAGCTGCAGCTGATAGCATGACTCATGATGTTATTCGGGACTTACTTGGTGTGAAAATGGACATAAATAGCTATGCTGTAAGTATATCAGATTATATGTCATCTTCAAAAGAGTTCAAGAGGCATTTTTCCTAACTTTACCGGTTTCTTCTTTGGGATTTATCAGGAGCTGATTGACCAGTACCAGGTCCAAAGAGTGGTTGAAGAGGCTAAGCAACATGCTGAAGAGATAATTTCCAAGGTGAAGATGCTACATACTTAACGGTATCCACTTTCGTTAGTTAGTCATTACTAATAACCTTTTTTCTCTATCGATTTTAGGAGCAAGAAATCATCAACTTGAAGAGACATATTGATGCTCTTGTCAACGAAAGAGAGAGGTTAGCTATTACGAGCCAAGATGCTTATATTTCTCTCTTGAAGTACTTAAAAGAACAAATTAATTAGCATTTCAACTTTGAAAAGTAAATTCTGCCGAGAGATTCTTAGTAAGTTTTGCTCTCTTGGGATGTTCCTGCAATTTTGTGGACAGTTGCATGTCAGAGTTGAGCAGGAAAGATACAGATGTTCTTGCGACGCAGATATCTCTGGACCAACTACAAGAACGAGTTCAGTTGCTTTCTATGCAAAACGAAATGTTGAAGGTAATTAGGAGTTTCTTCCACCTTCAATCTCACCACCGTTGTATGTGTTTTTCTTAACTAACTGATTCTATCTTCCGTTTGCAGAATGACAAGAGCAATTTGCTGAGGAGGTTAGCTGAACTTGATCGAACAGTCCACAATGCACGTGCCAGCAACCAACGTGTTCAACAGACAACAAAGGTAAACGCGTTGCATTGTTTACCGCATGGGGACTAAAACAAAGACTATGGCGAAGAACTCAATGATTGATTTTAAGATTCTGAATTTCCTTTGTTTTTTGTGGAACAGGACACAGTGTCATTTAAACTTGCTGACACTGATTATACCAAGAGACTGGAAAATGCTCAGAAGCTTCTTTCCCATGCTAATAATGAATTGGCAAAGTATCGCAAAACTAGCAATTCTAATCCATCAACAAGAATTCAGGGACAGAGCTCGGCTACAAGGTATCGCTAAGAGTTTCTCTCTACTCGTTGGCTTGTTCTCGAGTATATATTGCACATGACTGAAACACTAAAACCTATGAAGCTAGTTCCACAATCTGAAGTAGGCACAAGTTCTGCAATTGTGGCTAAATAAATAAAATTTTGCAGAAACGAAAAGAGTGAACTTTTTTCTCTCAAACTGTCTGCGTTTTTTGTTTTGGCTTGATCGTTCACAAACATGACCACAAGTCCCACGTCCAGTAGCTTGATGGAAATGGAATTACGTTATTGGGATGTTTTTCGTGCTTACATTGGAATTGTTGTGTATAAGAATGCATATAACATGTCACTGCAATTGTCCTGTTATTTGTAATTGTATGTTTATATTTCTATAATGGAAGAGTTTGCAATCAGTGATTCGGTGTTTAAGGCCGTAAGCAACTTTGACCACCATTTCTCTAATTACGGAGTAAACATGAATCCAAAGTATGCTCGTCTTCGCTCTTGCACATAACTACAACAGACCCAAAAAAAGACAGACCTTGTAGGACCTATGTCTTTCGAAGCAAAGCGCACAAAAAGTTTCTCTCGTTCATGACTTCATGTAGCGTCTGCCTCCGTCTTCTTCAACGACTCATCCTGAGGCAAAACAAATGAACATAGACACAGGTGAAACTCAGACCTAGTTCAAGGATGAGATTTTGCATGATCTAGAGTTTCTTTTACATGGAAAAGTGGATTGATCATGGGATAAAGCCAGATGCAAATGGATATCTAAGTTAAAACTTAAAAGGCTATATAAAGCAATGAGGGACACACCTTAGTACAGACATAGATGTAATGGACATCAGGGCTTTTGCCAATTGCTGATTCCACTGAATTTTCCTCAGCATCTAGAGAAATAGGTTTCGTGAGTTCCCATTTTGGCGTTTCTAGTGGTTGTTCGGTTAAACTTTTGTCTGCAGGGGAAAAAATAAGACACAGCAAGTCTTAGCATAGCAGAAACAAGGAGCTTGTAATCCACAAAAATTTACAAGAGGCATATTATACGAACCAGTATGATGGTTTCAGAATTATAGCTGACCTATCACATGGAGTTTGGTTGTCCAAGAGCATGATTCTTCAAACAGCCGAAACAATGTACACTACATAATCATATCCCTCCATGTGAAGATCTTACCAGGATATAGACTCCTTTATCCTTGAGGATCCTATAATTTTCATCAACTGCTTCATTCTACGTGAAAGGATCAAGAAAGAAAAATTTACAAAGAGAAAAAAAAAAAAACACAACCATTTTCATCATTCGATCACGGACTATCGTACCTCCAAACCTCCTCAACAATTTGTGTTGAGTATTGCCTGCCTCGAATTGCTACCACACTACACGTGAAAAAGTGATACAAATTGCTATGAGAGTTTAGAATACAAAGATAGCATAAGCAAAGAGAAAGTAGACCTCACTCACCAAANCAGTATAAGACTCTGGAGGTCATGATACGAGACTTCAAATTAGAGGACTCAACTTCGTCAGCTGCAGAGACCATATCACACAAAACTGAGAAAAGCTCAATCAGGACCAGAGGTTCAGGTTCACCCTTTAGATGCATAGTTGGGTTGGTCCAACAGATGAAATTGGAAAAGGATCAGGAACTGACCATGGCAAGGCTTCGTGTTGAAGAATTGGAGTCATTGCTAGGTGTTAAACAGAAAGAGGTGCAGCCAGCTTCATTTGATTGTTCTTTTCTTTTGGAGCGCTTGCAGATCTTTAAATGAATGTTCAGTCTTGATTCGATTTAGAGTAATCCTTCTATATGTTGTCATGCTGGAACAGATTTGCACATTGAACACGAGGATAGCTGCAGCTGATAGCATGACTCATGATGTTATTCGGGACTTACTTGGTGTGAAAATGGACATAAATAGCTATGCTGTAAGTATATCAGATTATATGTCATCTTCAAAAGAGTTCAAGAGGCATTTTTCCTAACTTTACCGGTTTCTTCTTTGGGATTTATCAGGAGCTGATTGACCAGTACCAGGTCCAAAGAGTGGTTGAAGAGGCTAAGCAACATGCTGAAGAGATAATTTCCAAGGTGAAGATGCTACATACTTAACGGTATCCACTTTCGTTAGTTAGTCATTACTAATAACCTTTTTTCTCTATCGATTTTAGGAGCAAGAAATCATCAACTTGAAGAGACATATTGATGCTCTTGTCAACGAAAGAGAGAGGTTAGCTATTACGAGCCAAGATGCTTATATTTCTCTCTTGAAGTACTTAAAAGAACAAATTAATTAGCATTTCAACTTTGAAAAGTAAATTCTGCCGAGAGATTCTTAGTAAGTTTTGCTCTCTTGGGATGTTCCTGCAATTTTGTGGACAGTTGCATGTCAGAGTTGAGCAGGAAAGATACAGATGTTCTTGCGACGCAGATATCTCTGGACCAACTACAAGAACGAGTTCAGTTGCTTTCTATGCAAAACGAAATGTTGAAGGTAATTAGGAGTTTCTTCCACCTTCAATCTCACCACCGTTGTATGTGTTTTTCTTAACTAACTGATTCTATCTTCCGTTTGCAGAATGACAAGAGCAATTTGCTGAGGAGGTTAGCTGAACTTGATCGAACAGTCCACAATGCACGTGCCAGCAACCAACGTGTTCAACAGACAACAAAGGTAAACGCGTTGCATTGTTTACCGCATGGGGACTAAAACAAAGACTATGGCGAAGAACTCAATGATTGATTTTAAGATTCTGAATTTCCTTTGTTTTTTGTGGAACAGGACACAGTGTCATTTAAACTTGCTGACACTGATTATACCAAGAGACTGGAAAATGCTCAGAAGCTTCTTTCCCATGCTAATAATGAATTGGCAAAGTATCGCAAAACTAGCAATTCTAATCCATCAACAAGAATTCAGGGACAGAGCTCGGCTACAAGGTATCGCTAAGAGTTTCTCTCTACTCGTTGGCTTGTTCTCGAGTATATATTGCACATGACTGAAACACTAAAACCTATGAAGCTAGTTCCACAATCTGAAGTAGGCACAAGTTCTGCAATTGTGGCTAAATAAATAAAATTTTGCAGAAACGAAAAGAGTGAACTTTTTTCTCTCAAACTGTCTGCGTTTTTTGTTTTGGCTTGATCGTTCACAAACATGACCACAAGTCCCACGTCCAGTAGCTTGATGGAAATGGAATTACGTTATTGGGATGTTTTTCGTGCTTACATTGGAATTGTTGTGTATAAGAATGCATATAACATGTCACTGCAATTGTCCTGTTATTTGTAATTGTATGTTTATATTTCTATAATGGAAGAGTTTGCAATCAGTGATTCGGTGTTTAAGGCCGTAAGCAACTTTGACCACCATTTCTCTAATTACGGAGTAAACATGAATCCAAAGTATGCTCGTCTTCGCTCTTGCACATAACTACAACAGACCCAAAAAAAGACAGACCTTGTAGGACCTATGTCTTTCGAAGCAAAGCGCACAAAAAGTTTCTCTCGTTCATGACTTCATGTAGCGTCTGCCTCCGTCTTCTTCAACGACTCATCCTGAGGCAAAACAAATGAACATAGACACAGGTGAAACTCAGACCTAGTTCAAGGATGAGATTTTGCATGATCTAGAGTTTCTTTTACATGGAAAAGTGGATTGATCATGGGATAAAGCCAGATGCAAATGGATATCTAAGTTAAAACTTAAAAGGCTATATAAAGCAATGAGGGACACACCTTAGTACAGACATAGATGTAATGGACATCAGGGCTTTTGCCAATTGCTGATTCCACTGAATTTTCCTCAGCATCTAGAGAAATAGGTTTCGTGAGTTCCCATTTTGGCGTTTCTAGTGGTTGTTCGGTTAAACTTTTGTCTGCAGTGGGAAGAAAAAAAACACAGCAAGTCTTAGTATAGCAGAAACAAGGAACTTATAATCCACAAATATTCCCAGATATGAATCAATATGATGGTTTCGGAATTGTAGCTGACCTATGACATGCAATTTGGTTGTCCAAGAGCATGATTCTTCAAACAGCCGAAGACGGTAATTAGGAGCTCCGTATGTAATCTGCAGAGAAACTATTTAAAATCAATGTACACTACGAAAACAGAAATACATGATCATAAAACATCGGAGAAGAAGATTTTACCAGGATATAGACTCCTTTATCCTTGAGGACCCTATAGTTTTCATCAACTGCTTCATTATACGTGAAAGGATCAAGAAAGAAAAATATACAAAGGAGAATCCAAAGAAAGATTAAAAAACAGAACCATTCATCATTTCATCACAAACTATAGTACCTCCAAACCTCCTCAAGCATTTGTGTTGAGTATTGCCTCGAATTGCTACCACACTACACATGAAAAAGTGATACAAATTGCTGTGAGAATTCAGAATCTAGAGATTGCATAAGTAAAGAGAAAGTAGACCTCACTCACCAAAATGGAGTCCAAGGTTCCTGAAAACAAACACACACAAACACCAGAAGAAAAAGTCGAAAATGTTATTACATGAAACACAATGCATAGGCCATTGGGCTAAAAATGGAATCAAACATGTACTAATGATACCTTTATCAATAACAGCATCAAAAGAAGCAGCTTCAAATGCCTTCATATCACGCACATCCATCTTCAAATCTTATTCACATGATCCAAATACAAAAGTTCAAGCTTAATCTAGTAAATTAAGGCACACGCAGATACATCGAAATGAGTGGGAACGAGAAGAAACGTACATTTGAGCTGAGGACGGTCGGAGTATTTCTTATTCATGGAATCGATCACCACAGAGGAAATATCGATATTGACTACATCTTCGTACCCATCATCCACCATTCCTTCGCTGAACGCTGCAGCGGAAATTCGGAAACAAACAAAATCAGACGGATCCAGAAATTAGAAAGAAAAAAAAAACGAAATGTGAAGTTCAGTGAGTGCTTTATTTCCTTCGTGTACCTGAGTTACCGCAGCCGATGACGAGGACTGGGTGATTACGGAGAGGGACGTAGAGATTGATGAGAGGAGCCAGTGAAGAATACTTCTGGTACCAATCGAACGGCTCAGATTCGTTCGTGTAGCGATCGTCCCAGTACCATTGCTCGCTGTAAGATTGCGTCGTCGTATCCGTCGCCATCGCCTTCGTCTTCTCCGTCGTAACTAACTGATTTCGTCCGTCGCTTCTTTCCTTTCTCTGATCAAAACGGAGGTGATAGAGAGAATGGAGAGATCTTTTTTCATAAAGCCACGTGGCATGAGTGTCAGATACAATGCAAGACCGGTTTTCCGGCTTGATTAAAAACCGCCATTTCAAATTAAACCGTATAAAACGTAAACCGGAGGTGCTCAGAGAGTTGCTTGGTCTGTGTTACACACTACACAATGTCTACCTTTGAAAATCCAATGTGTTTTTTTTTTTTTATTGAAGACCAGAAAATAAACTAACAAGTGATATTCAAAACATCTGGCTTGATTGTTTGTTACTTTGTTTGATACCCTTAATAAAATTTAATGAAGTAATTATTTTCATTGTTTTCAAATTACAAGTGATTCTAAGTAGTAAATCGAATCCCTTCTCTAGCTTCTTGCAAGAATCATGGAACATAGTGTGATTCTTATATGTTAAACACAGCAAGGAGACTCTGCTATACCTCTGTTTCAAAGATTCCAGAATAATTATCTCTATATATACATATTATCCAAAACATTCTCCAATCACAACTTGAGACCTGCCATATACTTATATGCTTGCAGAGAATAGCGAGACTAAACTCAATGATAACATTATCATTAAAATTATTCCATCAAGAAGCAAAAATAAAAAGAAGCAAATAATCTAAGCTTAAATAAAAATCATGAAAAGGAAGTAGAGGGGGCTAAACTAGCACGGCAAAAACCATCGAGCATGAGAGAAACGTATGGAGGAGAAGACATGTTTTGGCAAAGTTTCCATCTTTTGGGTGGAGAGATCATAGACAAAGATTTGATCAGGATCATCACCTCTGCCACTGAAATAGATTGAGTTTCTCTTGATCCCTGGGATGTCTTTAGCGACAACAGTGATACCCATGTCGTAGATCAATGCATGATCCCCCAAAGAATCTATTTTCACCCAGCGGCACTGAGCGAGGTCTCTCTTGTAGACTCGGAAATGCCACGTTTTGCAGCTAAACAGTATAGACGCAACCATCAAAACATGCCCAGAGACCGTAACCGCAATGCGTGTGGTGTGGTGCATCAACTTTTGCCAGTAGAGCTCTTCTTCATTTTCATCTCCTTCGTCAACATAAGAAGGAAAATCATAGTGGTTGAACCAGAAAGAACCAAGATACGACCCATCATCTTCTTCGACCGGTTTATCTCCAGAGAAATCCCAAATGTTGATAGGGTTCTTATGATGATAGAGGTAGAGCTTCTGATTCTTGTGGTTTAAGATCATGTCTTCTCTCCAGCTATAGAGAGGAAACTCGTGCCACGTGTTATCATCTCCTTTCTTGATAAACATAGTAGACATGGCCATCTTCCAGATAACTATGTAATCTTTAGTTTCGTTGTCTATCCAAAAACAAGCACCTTCGAATTCCAAACTTGCTTTGAGTTTGTCAGTGTTTGGTAGATCGATCCTCTCACTCGTTAAAGGATTTATCATGTATAGATCTCTCTTAGGACTGGACATCAGAAGCCAGCTGCCACAAGTCATCAGACAACGACTCTTGGAAAATTCAAAACCGAGATCTCTGGTTTTGTAGACTCTGTCTTTATCCTCCGGAACGAACAACACACAACTGTTGTTGTTGTTGCTGTTGTTGTTGTTGTTTGTTTCCGGGAGGAGAATCAGCCATGGAATCTGATTGCGGTTTGGGATGCAGCCTCTGGAAGCAGAGTGCCATGAAGAACAAACCGAGCTTGCTCGGTTAAAGACTGTGAAACTCAATCGTTTGAAAACACATCGCAGCAGATCCGGTGAAAGCTCCGACCAGTTTACACTTCCTTGTTCTTCTTCTCGTCTCCGCCGATGAGGTTTCGTTTTGCTCCCATTTATTGTTCAAATGTCGATACTTGTTTGATCCAAATAAGTTCCTATCTCGTTTATAATGAAGCCCTAATAAATGAGATGGTTTTTATATTGCATTATTAAATACAAATACATCAAAACTCAAAAGTGAACATGTGTATATAATATATATACAAATTCTATACTGTATATATATTCACTACATTAAGGTCCGCGTATACGCGGGTATATTTTAAGATTTTATAATAAAAGCATGGAAAATATTAAACAAAATTTGATCATTTTTAAACGTAAACAAAATAATATTGAAAACCCGATAAAAATATTTAAATAAAATAAGATTGGTAATACTTTTACATTTTTATTGTAATTGATTTTTCTTTTGAATTTATGATATGACAAAATGAATTAATTTGTTTTACTATTATTTTTATCCAATACAGAAAGACTTACACATGTCTAAATCTGATCAACTGATTAATTAATCAAACTTTTATTATTCCATTCAAGAGATTTTAATTGATGAAATCTTTATTTCAATTTTTTTTACCTAACAAAAATTGAAAATCAAACTATTTAAAATTAGAATATCAATTATAATTTTTTAATATTAGTTAATTGCTTGATAATTATTTTGTTAGTTTTCTATTTATATTTTTTCTTTCTCAATTTTTTTTTGCCTCAGACCATTATAAATACTATATATTGGTATTTTTCCTTTTCGAAATGGATTTTTTTTCCTTTTCTTAATAGATGTAACAAAAGAATTTAAATTATTTGTTTCCTGTTTTTTTATTACTTTTAATGGATGTATTATTTTTTTCATTTTAATTATTTGTTATCTGTTTTTCTAATTTTTAGTTAGTCTTATACATATTAATTTTTATTATTTTTATTCCATGACACATGTTACGATCTTCATACTTCGAATTTTTTTTTTCTAAAACACATGTCGCAATTTTGTCAGTTATAAAAATCCTATGTATCGCAAAACTTTCAAAAACATGATTTTTAAATTGGAGAAATAGAATCAAAGGGATTTGATGAATTTGCTTTGATGAATTTATGATTGAGAAACTTGACTCTCTTTTATAGGGGTTCAAGTAACCTATTACATGCAGTTATAGGAAATTTAGTTTACATAACATATTCCATGTACAAATAGGATTTTATTTATTACATTATTTTGATTTTATTATTTGTTTGGATAATATTAATTTGATGAATGAGAAACCTTTCTCTATTAGGATATGACAAATATATTTTTATTTCTTTTAACTGTAATGGATTAATTTTTTAAAAAAATTTCCTTTATCTAAATTTTTATTATTTTTTTTTTCTCTAAGACATGTGTCACGATCTTAACGGACGTAACATTAAAAGTGACACATGTCGCGATCTTATAAATTATAAAAATCCTATGTGTCGCAACCACGTCGTGCGCATCCAACTTTATATAATAAAAAATTGATGAATGGAAACCTTTTTCTGTTTGGATTGGCAAATATTATTTTTTCCTTTTTGATATAATAGATTAAATTAAATTTCGTTTTTTTTAATTAACATTTTTCTGGAATTTTTTTTTTAAGTTCTCTTTTTCCTAAGACACGTGTCACGATCTTAACGGACATAAACTTAAAAGTGACACATGTCGCGATCCTGAATTTTATAAAAATCCTACGTGTCGCAACCACGTCGTGCGCATCCAGCTTTATATAATAAGATATATTCGTCTCATGTGACTCACAAAATAGTTACCTATGGAGGAAAGTTCTAGTTTATAAACCAAAATTCTTGCGTTTTGGTTCTGCAACCTCACAGGGAATATAAGTCTTCATGCATGGAAAAGGTTTAGTCCTTTCAAGCAAAGTATAAAGGATTGATCCTAAATCCTAATCAGTTTCTTTTTTTATTTTCAGATGGATTCTACTTCTTTCACATACAAATAGAAAGTTTATAGAGTGATGCTTATCTGCATATCACAGCATATGCATTAGTTTCCTTTCTGGTTTCTTCATATCTTCTCATGGCTAGTTTCGGTGATCATGATGGTATGAATACACATCTTTTTTTGCCCTGTTTTCTTATTAAGAATGTATACGTAATTGAATTCAGTTTCTCCTTTCACTTAGTTTAGTGGCAACTTATCTCCAAAAGGTAACTTTTTGTGAGAAATCCTTGCAGAGATTATTAAGTCTATATCTGATGCCCCGCCAACGCATTACATGGTCAAGATAGAGTCTTTCTCACTCCTTGCAAAGCATGCTATAGAGAGATATGAAACTGAGAGCTTTGAAGCTGGAGGCTACAAATGGTATGGCCAGGCATCATTGTTTCGTTATACAACTAATTTGTTCTTCTTTCTTGCTTTAATTATTAACGAACCATTAATCATCAAATCCCTGCAGAGACTATAAAGTCAATTATTTGTTAGAACATGCCTCAATGTTTTTCCGTGCTTTTAGTTGATGTTTTAGGAAACTTTGATCAAAAACACCTTTTCATTCTCTGCACAATGGACCAGTACACTCATGGTTTTTTTTCTTTTTCTTTTTTAATTTTCCATGTGAACTTGGGACCATCTTTGTTTCTATTTCTGGTGTCCAATTAGATACCTTGAATTCAGTAATTTACCACGTATTGCTTTGGTTTTGCTTTGCAGGAAACTGGTCCTGTATCCAAATGGAAACAAGAGCAAGAATACAAAAGATCATGTTTCTGTTTACTTGTCTCTGGCAGACTCTACTTCATTAGTTCCTGGATGGGAGATTTCCGCTGTTTTCCGTCTGTATCTGCTTGATCAAAACAAAGATTGTTATCTGATTCTACAAGGTAGAGACATATTTGTAACTTCTTCATCAATTACTCTGTTTTTCCTCTTCATGATCCTACCTTACTATACATTTCTTGTTGCAGGAAAAGAGAGACGGTTCCATGCGGTCAAGCGTGAATGGGGATTCGATAAATTCATCCCTACCGGTACCTTCTCCGATGCATCAAACGGTTACCTTATTGAAGACACGAGTATGTTTGGAGCTGATGTTTTTGTCTCTAAGGAGAGAAGAAGCGGGAGAGGAGAATGTTTGTCAATGATCAAAGACGCTACGAGCTCTAAACACGTCTGGAAGATTGAGAATTTCTCCAAGTTAGATAAAGAAAGCTACGACTCAAATGCTTTCTTCGCTGGAGACAGAAAATGGTAACAACATTGTATTTGGTAGTATATAGTCCCAGAACCGTAGGTTGTAGTAATAATCGATTTTTTAACGCAGGAAGATACGGTTTTATCCATCGGGAACCAAGCAAGGAACAGGAACCCAACTTTCTGTCTTTCTCATCCTCGCAGATCCTGAAACTGTTTCAGACGGTACAAAGATATTTGTAGAGTTTACGATACGGATATTTGATCAGCTTCAAGGCAGGCACATTGCAGGGAAAGGTAAACAAACAAACCCACAAACTCAATTCTTGATACTTTTGACTTCTTGATCTGTAACTTCTCGTGTCTGTTTTTCAGTTACTAAATGGTTCAGTCAATCGAGCTTGGAGAACGGATGGGTTAAATACGTATCGCTGGTTTATTTCACGCAGCCAAACAGTGGCTTGTTGCTCAAAGATGTCTGTCTCGTTGAAGCTGATGTCTCCGTTCTTGGAATCACTAGTGCACTCTGATCTCAAAAAAATGTCACATGTGGTGTCTTATGTCTCCGATTTCTCAAATTGCAAACAAAAGATGATCATATTGAATACTTTCTTATATAAATTATCTTCTCAAAAGAAGCAAGAAATACAAAATATGATCTGAACTTTCTTACCACAACAATAACAAGTAAAATAGTAATAATATTACTCAAATCTTTTTCTTCAAAGTTGAAAAAAAAAAAAAAGAATTAACCCATCTCAGAGTTGAAACTAAAATACATAAACAAAGTGAAGCAGAGCTAAAACCTGAGACTGGTTCAGGTTTTCAAGCTTGGACCTTGTTAGACTTGAGTGGCTTCACAACCTCCCAGGTGAAATCAGGGTCGTCCCTTCCAAAGTGACCATAAGCAGCAGTCTTCAAGAACCTACCGTTGCCTCCTCTCTTCAAATCCAAGTTAATAGAGATCATCCCTGGCCTGAAGTCAAAACTCTCCTTGACAATCTCAAGAATCTCCTTGTCTGGGATCTTCCCAGTTCCGTAACTGTCAACGAACACAGACAACGGCTCAGGGACACCAATGGCGTACGAGACCTGCACAATGCACCGCCTCGCGAGCCCACTGGCTACAATGCTCTTAGCTGCTTGCCTAACGATGTAAGCACCACTCCTGTCGACTTTGGTTGGGTCCTTCCCGGAGAAAGCACCACCTCCGTGTGCACCCCAACCACCGTACGTGTCGATGATGATCTTACGCCCGGTGAGTCCAGCGTCACCGTGAGGACCTCCGATCACAAAACGACCAGATGGGTTGAGATGGAAGATCGTCTTCTCGTCAAGGTACTTCTCTGGAATCACAGGCTTGATCACATGCTCCTTGAGGTCAGCTGCGATCTCGTCGTTGGTCACGGTCTCGTCGTGCTGCGTGGAGATGAGAACAGTGTGGACACGGACTGGGACCATTGCTCCGTTCTCGTTCAAGTACTCAACGGTGACCTGAGTCTTACCGTCGGGTCTCAACCACGCGCAAGTTCCGTTCTTGCGAACCTCGGTGAGCTTAGCTCCAAGCTTAGTAGCGAGGACGTGGCTAAGCGGCATGAGCTCAGGGGTCTCGTCGGTGGCGTATCCGAACATGTGGCCTTGGTCACCGGCTCCGACCTCCTCCGGCTTCTTCGTGAGGTGACCGTGGACACCTTGCGCGATGTCGGGGCTCTGCTGCTCGATGTTGACGAGGACCTTGCAGTTGTCGGCGTCTAGGCCAACGTCGGCGGAGACGAATCCGATTTCGCGGCAGGTTTTGCGGACGATCTTCTCGTAATCGACGTTAGCCTTGGTGGTGATCTCGCCGAAGACCATGACCATGTTGGTCTTGGTGCAGGTCTCGCAAGCGACTTTGCTCTCGGGGTCTTGCTCGAGGCAAGCGTCCAGGATTGCGTCGGAGATCTGATCGCAGAGCTTATCGGGATGTCCTTCGTTAACGGACTCCGATGTGAACAAAAACGATTCCATTTCAAAAACCTAGCAGAGACCAATCCAAACAAAATTATCAATGAGAACAAACAATTGAATTCACAATCGAATCGAAATCAATAACCAGATCTAGAAATCCGCAATCTAAACAGCAATTCAATTCAACAGTCACTCGATTTCTTCAATCGAAGAGACTAAAACACAGAAATGCAGAATCGTAAGAACATATGAATCGAAGATTGCATACCTAAAGAGAGAGAGAGAGTAATGGAGGCGGTGAGTGAAGAAATGTGGTAGTACGAAGGTGAAGGAAGAGTGAAGAAGGTTTATATATAGGAGCAATGAATAGGTGTAAGATCGTAATTTCGTCCAGATTCATTCCCAGTTTCGTCTTCCTTCTCTCTGTTCAGAGAAAATGAGATCCAGATATCTGACGGTTCAGATTAGATCTATAAAAGAAAGCTGATTTGAACCGTCGGATTTACTTAACTGGACCACCGCGTGCAAGTACAACTAGACAACAGCATCTAATGAAAATCGCGGCGAATCACGATAATAATTACTGATGGTTATCGAGAATCAATTTAAGTAGTACTAATGCAAATCGTATTTAATTGTAAGATATTTTGAAGCATGTGACGCTGAATTCAATGAGTTAATACTTAATAATATCGTAGTAAATCATGAAGAAGTTACTGTAAAAGTCTAATAGAGTTTGTGTCGGTGAGTGAGTGAGAACGGGAACGTGATTACCGGAAAACCGGAAGGGACCGTTAAGACTTAAGAGTGAAATAGAGAAAAACTGATAAACACAGGCTGTCTCTTTGCTCTTTTAGTGATGGGTCCACTGGCCACCGGCAAAAGGACAACATATAATTCTTTTTTTTTTCTTTTCTATTTAGTGTCGGCTACGGCTAGCTTGTCAATGAAAATCTGATATTGTCCGTTCTGAAAAGGAAAATTTGAGCACTTTTACCAGCCTGCCAATAATTTTGGTTTAGGTGTAAGATCGCAAACTGAAATTTAGATCACCACCTAGTGTTTTCATTGAGGATCGATTGTTTTAGCTTTTCTTTTGTGAACTTCTTTTCCAAGTTAGATAGCTTAGAATTTGGAGTTTGGGAATTGGGAGTTGGGACTGAGTATAACGTCTAAAACATATAACTCAAATTTAAAGGATTTTATACTATGTAGGTGTTTATCATTTACTATAAGATAAGCATACTACATAACATTTTATTATATAAAGCTGGATGCGCGCGACGTGGTTGCGACACGTAGATTTTTATAAAATATAGGATTGCACATGTGTCACTTTTAATGTTATATCCGTTAAGATCGTGACACATGTCTTCGGAAAAAGAAATTTTTATTTTAAAGAAATTTTTAATATCTTATAATAAAAACGAAATTTTATATAATAAAATGAAAATAATGTAATAAAAAATTCCTATTAGTATATGGAATAGGTATGTAAACTAAATATCCTAAAATATGGAATAGGTTATATAAACTCCTATTTAAAAAATCCTATTAGTACATGTAATAGGTATGTAAACTAAATATCCTAAAACTGTATGAAATTGGTTACATGAACCCCCTATAAAAAGAGAGCTATTGTAGTCTCTTTTTCTCATTCACAAACTCATCAAAGCAAATTCAGAAAATCTCTTTGATTCTCTTTCTCTAATTTCAAAATCATGTCTTTGAAAGTTCAAGAGAACAGTGGAGATTATTTGACTCTAGGTCAATTGGATCGAAATTAAAATTATTTGAATAAAATCCTATTAGTACATTAGGAAAAATCAGAAAACAGGAAACAAACAATTAAAAAGAAAAAATATTACATCCATTATGAGAAGTAAAGAAAAAACATAATTCTATTACGAAAAGGAAAAAAAACGAAAATCAGAAAAACATGAAGAAATAATTAAAAAATGTTACATCCAATAAGAAAAGGAATAAAAAAACATATTCCCATTACGAAAATGAAAAAAAAAATATATAACAAGCTATATTTTTTAAGTTTCTTTCTCATTAAGAAATAAAATTCATGTCTTTAAAAGTTAAAATATCAATGAAGAATACTTAACTTTAGATCGATACATGTGTCTAATATTTGATGAAGTGATGACATGTGTCAACACAAGAAAATTGGAAAAATGTAGTAACATAAATAAATAAACTAACAAAATAATATTAAAACAACTAACTAATAATGAAAATGAAAATTTATAATGGTCAGAGGCAAAAACGAAATTGAAAAAGAAACAATATAAATAGAAAACTAACAAAATAATTATTAAGGAACTAAATAATATTAAAAAAGAAAATTTTATAATGGACTGATCTTCTAATATTAAATAGTTTAATTTTCCATGTTTTGTTAGGTAAAAAAATATTAAAAATAAAGATTTCATCATGGAATAATCAAAGTTTCATAAAATAATGAGTCGATTAGATTTAGACACATGTAAATCTTTCTATTTCATATCATGAATTCAAAATAAAAATGTAAAAGACTACATATCTTTATTTAGAGATTTGTTATCGGGTTTTTAATATTATTTTCTTATTTTTAAAATTGATCAAATTTTGTTTAATATTCTTCCGTGATTTAAAAAAATAAAAAATAAATAAACCCGCGTATATGCGGGGCCTAATCTAGTGATCTATAATTTTATTTTATTTTAAATAGATCTTAAATTCAAACAAAAAGAAATTAGGAGGAAAAATATCTTAGGCTATTAAACTATTTGAATTATTATTAGGCTCCTGATATTGATATAATGGGCCAACAATTAGGGTTCTAACGTCAGTGAAATGTGGACCTACTTAGCAGACAGTTGGGAGCTTATGGGCTTAGACATGGAGATATAAAATCTGAAATAAAGGTTTAATGGGCCCATGTTTAAAACATTTTATTGCTTTATGTCCTATGGGCTATGGGTAACTTTAATTAAAACACATCTCAGGTAAGCTCGAAATTCCAAATTCTAACCTCAAGAAAAAAATCGAATCACACTACAGATGAAAGACCAAATTTTGTTTGTAAATGCAAATGGAAAACATATGTTAGTATAGATTTTAACATTTATCTTAGAATATGTTACATTTCTCTAAAAAAATAACTCTTACTTTTTGAATTATATTCTAAGGAAAAACAAAATTTAAGCTTTTAATATTTCTGGAAAAGTCACATAAATATATACACTACCCATTAGCCGCGTCCCGCGTGCATAAGAAACTAGTAGTGGACCCGCACGTTTGTGCGGTGTGACATTGTGATTTGTAAAAAAAATATAATTCCTTTTCCACTAAAATTTTAACCTTAAAATGCATAATTAATATTAGTAGTATGTTATATTTTTTTATCAAAAAATACAAATAGTTTAATCAATAAATTTATATTTTAATCATCTCTTATAGTTTTTTATTATGTTTAGTTAGATAGTTGATAGTTTTAGGTTAGTCTCCAACTTTCACCCGAAACCTGAATCCATATCCAAACTGAAATTAAAAAAGGAATGATTAGGTACGTGTTAATCCTAGTAGTACGTTAAACCAAAATTATGCATTTTAAGGTTGTATCTTAATAGTACATTGTATTTAAATCTGAAAAATCTTCAAAAAACCCAAAGAATCCAGAAAAAACTCGAACTAAACCCGTAAAAAAACTTAACCGAAGCTAAACCAAAATATAAAAAGACTACAGTTTCTATATCTATAAATTTGAAAAACCAAAGCCCAAAGACCCGATCCAAATCCGACATGAAATGTGACCAGTGTTGTTATTTTTTATAGTTTATTGTGACATATATAAAAAATTACAAATAAAAAAGGGAAACAAAGACACGTGTTCTCCTTTTCTCCATCTTAGAGACATCATCACTTTCCTTCCCCTTTCTCCACCGAAAAACCTGTACTTTGCTTTCTTTCTCTAATTGAGTTTATGCATATACTTTGATCCCATCTTCTCCATTGACCCATCTCTACATATACTTTGATCCTTTGAACAACAGAACAATCTTGCCTTCCTTCAATTGTATCGTCTTCTTCTCTGATATGGCTAAGGAACTTACGTCCAAGGCACATGAGGCTTTCGTAGACGGCGACTTGGAAATTGATGTGGACTTGTATTCCAAAGTCATTGAATTGGATCCTAATTGCGCCGATTTCTTCGCCGATCGTGTTCAAGCTAACATCAAACTCCTAAACTTCACTGGTAACTTCTTCCCTTTATTATAAAAAAACGGTACTTTGTTGAAGAAGAACATAAATCTTCGTCATTGAGCTTCTGGGTTGTCATGTCCTGGGTTCTTGTTCGAAACCCATATTAAGGTTCAATGGGGTCTCCTTTTCGAAAATGTTGGTTTCTCAATTTCGCTCTTACTCTCACCTCTCTTTCTTCTGCAAAATTGCTTTCGTTTTCTTCCTTGGTGAATTCCTTTTATTGTAGATGTTGAGAATTATCTCTACCAAAATCCCACTAAGCAATCGATTTTCTATTTTCCTTGTCAGAGGAAGCCCTTTTAACACCTGCTCTGTCTCCGGTAACTCCCCAATCAAAATCTCTCCGTCCCGGTAACCCCCATCAAAATCTCAACAATCCGGTAACAGCTCACCTACCAACTACACTGCGAAACTCAACAAAAACCAGACATGGCTGCATCTTCGCCAATTAATCTGGTTAACGACGGCGGTTCTTCGATTAATTGTGGTGGCAGATTTTTGGGTATAATCTGGATCGCCGTGTTACTGGATTCAAATTCTCGACTGATTGCTGTTATCCGATTTCCAGCGACACTGATTTCACAAAACCAATAGCTTTGGAATATTAATTGGAAAAAGAGGCTATGGAGATTTCCTGCTCGCTCATCCTTTTCATCTCAAGCTTTTAGCAAGCGATGATTGTTCCATCACCGATCAATTTAGGCATAGAAGCCTCAGACGGTCATCACAAATTATATAGTAGTAGGTAGATAGGGTTTATATCGATGATATTTCTTGATTATCAAGGTTTTTTTTGATTTGGTATTATCATAAATTATGTTAATTTTTCTTTTTGGTAGATTTTCTTAGAATTGAAAAAGGGAAAATTTTCTGATAATGTCATTATCGCCGATAGGTTTCTATTTCTCAATCTTTGGTTTAGTAAAATTCAGTTTTTGGTTTAATAGAATCAAATTGGTAAACAAAAAAGCAACAAACACGGTTTGATTTAAGTGATAAAGATCCGCGTCCTTTACCAAATCTATTTGGGTGGGTTATTCTCGATTTAAAGCTATTCGGGTGGGCTATTCGCGAGTTACCGAGTCAACTCAGCCGAGTTAGCTTTTTTTTTGCCACTTTTAACCCCTGTTATCCTTGTATACAAACAGTTTTCCTTCATAAAAGTTATGGGTTTTTTGTCTTTTTTTTTAAATGTATTTTTCGATTAATAGTAAAGAGATTAAGGATTGAACTCTTTGGTCTTTTATTTACTTGCAAGAAGTATAAATACCAAAAAAGGAAAAGATGGTGGAAATTGAGGTGAGGCAGACGCGAGAGCTTCAAGGTGGTTGTTGACTTGTGGACCGACGACCGAAAAATATCAACAAGAACACGATCGCCTTTGATGGTGGTCAAAAGATACTCGCTTTACACCTTGACCTTTTATTTTTGCTGTTTTTTAAAGTCAAGTAACATGTTGATCTTTACAACTTTATTATATATTCCATCAGAATCATTCATATCACTATTTTTATTCTTCTTCACATTCATAAAAGCAAGCCGTCCATTTTGGTTTTTCAATTCACCGCGTAAGTAAAAGACTTGAACTTTAATTCACCTAATTGACTGTCTCATACTATAATTCTATAAAGTCTATAATTAGTTTCGTAAAGCAAAAGTCAAAAGATAATACAATAAGAAACACGGAAGATTGATGAGAAAAGCAAAAATAAATAACAGAAGATTATGTGATTCTATTATATGACCCACTACATATATAAACACTACACAACGAATTTCTTTATGCTGTTATTTTAAGGTTTTGATCAACTTTTGTTGTTGTAATGATTAGGTAACTTAAGTTAATGTTGGTATGTAATTATGCGAACATATATTTGTCGTCCGATACAAATAATCGACTAATTAAATCTACTCAAATGGTTCATTAATTAGTAGATTAAAGACTTTTGACCTCAGAATACGAAAAAAGAAAACAATAATAATTCAAGTTGCAGGCAAAGAGAGACTAGACTAGCACTACAAGTAGCTATCGTGCGCCTCTGCTCTACCCTATATATCATTTACTGCGAATTTCCGCCGGGAAGAAAAGTCTGCCTTCTTTAGCGTAAGCTTCACCAACCCTACGAAGAAGATAGAAACTAATCAATCTCTGCAGCTTCTTCGATCATCGCAAGATTCGACTCTTCTCTTCTCTCTTTCGATTCTTGGAAAAGGTAAAATGCTTTTCTTCTTCTAAGCAACTCGAACAAATTTCCCTTTTTGGGTCTTTCCTTTTATGCGCGTATATCGGTTTTTGATCGGATTTTTTAAACATATGGTTCGATTTCTTGCCGAATTAGATGATGTAAACGGATTTTTCGGAGTTTATTTATAGTTATTTTGAGTTCTCAATCCATTTTACGGGTTACGATCGTTGACTTGTGTTATTCTAGGTCACCAAAATGTCCCAGTTGTTACTGTATGGATTTCGATCGAATTATGTGCTATTATGAAGAAAGAAGAACAATTTACTCTTATAATGAAGAATTTGATTTTTTTTCTGAAAAAAATCGGTTTCCGTTTGATATTCGATTTTACGGTCTCTGTTGCTTCTTAAACCCTTACAATAAGAAAACCCTTGTTTGTCGCTGTGTCTGAACATTTCTATGTCTGTGCTTACAGTTTTGTCTAATTCCCTTGTAAAAAGTCAATTTTCTACTTCAATTTTCATATTTAAAGTCTAAAACAATGGCAATTTTCTTCTTTTTCAATTGCTTTGTATACCAGACGTAAGTCCCTGCTCTGCTACACCATTTCTGAAGTTTGCAAAACCTGTTTCCTGACGTGTTTTCGTTACACAGTTTTCGTAAGTTTGTGTGAGAGAGAAGCGTAATGAGCTGCTTCGGTTGTTGTGGTGGTGAGGATTTCCGTAGAGTTGCTGAAACAGGACCAAGGCCAGTGCACAACGCAGCAGGTAGCTTAGTTTACTTCCACTGCTTCGCTCACATCAGTAGGCAACGGCTTAAAGTTAACGAACTTTTTCAACTGTTGTTTAAGGTTACAATGGAGGTCACCATCAAAGAGCAGATCCACCAAAGAACCCGCCTGTCATTCAGATGCAGCCTATCTCTGTTGCGGCCATTCCGGCTGATGAACTGAAGGATGTAACCGATAACTATGGTTCGAAGTCCTTGATCGGTGAGGGCTCGTATGGAAGAGTGTTTTACGGTGATTATTGTCTCTTAACTTTGCAGGAAACAAAAAAAAGCCTGAAAGCACAAGTTTCAGATTTCTGATTTCTGATTTCTTCAAAGTTTATGCCTCGAGGGAAAAAAAATTGGATACAGAGAAGGAGAAAGCAAATGACGATTAATTGCCAAAGCGAATCAGAGAATCACAATCGGAGGAAGACGAAATATGGAGGAATATACAAATTTAATCTAATTGTCACCACGTGAGAGCTTAAAACACTTGGACGAAAATGCGGGTTAGGTCGAATAATCTCCAGGCATTTTCTCAGGTAAACAAACGGCATTTACAGAAAATTCCAATAGAAGCGACCAAAAGAAATGGAGCAAGTGGGTACCTTGAAAAATCAATGTAGCATCGCCGCTAAAAGCCGAATCGCATGCAAGAGAAAGAGAAAGGAGAGAGGATTATGAGAGAGAGAAAGAGAGTGATTACGTACAAGGAGCGGCACTTAAGAGAAGTATCATTATCGTTATCATTAATCAGTTCGATGATTGCGATTGTAAAGAGTGTTTACTTTGCAAATCTCGCTTGCCTTTGAAGCGCGCTTATGCTATACCTTAATCCTAAAATAAACATTTCAATTTGTTTATTCGTTATCCTCGTAAACCGTAATCATAAAATTGCAGGAGAGAGAGATGGAGAGAGAAGAGTACATACATGTATACGTATTTGCTTGCCTTCACGGATACTGTGATGAGAGGAGAAACAAATTTCTCTTCTAATTTATTTTCTTTCTCAAGAGTAAATAAGCCACGAGAAAAAGTAATAATCATATAGATATATAGCTTCTAAACTTTAGATTTATCTCATTAACTCATTAAAGTAACAAATCTAAATGCATTAAACTATTAATGGTGTGAAATCAGAGATTGTAACAAAAAGGAATACAGGGAAATTGTTGAATATTGAAATGTTGAAAGAATATTTGAGAGGAAATGTTTTTTTGACTTTTTCTTACATACATAAACTAGTTGAGAAAAAAATATATTTTCCCTCGCTTCAATTTTTATATATAATGAAATAAAGAAGAATGAGTTTCCCTTTCTCTTTTTTATTCTTTTTGAACAAAGAAGAATAAGTTTCCTTTATTTTTTCTCTTAATTATGAAAATTATAAGAAAAACATTTTTTAGCCAATTTATTTATCTATTTGATTTTGCATGACCGATGACAATTATCTAAAAAATATTTCTTTTATTAAATCTGACTGTTTATTTTTTATAAGAAAACATGTTTTGTCACATTTAAAATTACATAAATATTTAAGGTTGTCGTTCTAGAAATTAAATTATAGGTCATGTCGCTTTTGCTACATAGGAAATGAAATTTATTCCCAATATTTTTTTGGATTCCAATATATTTGTTTGCCCGCCGATGAAAAACTCGAAAATCCTAAAAGAGCCCCTCTCTCTACTGCTCACACTACTCTCACTCGCCCACTCTGCAAATTATTTCCGATTTCAAAAATCAGATTCAACAAAATTGGAATAAGAAACAAAAACAAAAAGGTGAATTTCGAAGCAGAAAGCAAGGAGACAACTTTAATGGAGGACGACGATCAGCGGAAGGCTGCAGATCTAGTCCAGGAGCTTGTTCTTCGTCTTCTCTCCCAAAACCCTCAAACCCCTAATCCCGATCCCAATTCTCCCGCCTTCCACGAAACCCATCGTTACGCCAAACGCATCCTCTCCAGCCGCCTCACTCCCTCCGTCGTCCCCGACGCCACCGCCATCGCCGAGTCCCTCAAACGCCGCCTCGCCACTCAAGGTAAGTCCTCCGACGCCCTCGCTTTCGCCGATCTCTACACCAAGTTCGCCTCCAAGACCGGTCCCGGCAGCGTCAACAACAAATGGGCTCTCGTCTACTTGCTAAAAATCGTTTCCGACGATCGCAAATCGGCTATAAACGGACTCGATTCGTCCGTTCTCCTACCCAATTTGGGGCTCGGTGACGCCGCTTCGTCGCTAGGTAACGGGTTTCTCCGCGGTGGAGAGGCTAAGAAGAAGGATTGGAGTAATGGGGTTCTGTTAGTTAGTAAAGACCCTGAAAATCTGAGGGATATTGCGTTTAGAGAGTATGCTACTCTGGTTAAGGAAGAGAACGAAGTTACGGAAGAGGTTCTAGTGAGAGATGTTTTGTACGCTTGCCAAGGCATTGATGGCAAGTATGTGAAGTTCAACAGCGAAATAGACGGCTATGCGGTGCTGGATCATGTTAAGGTGCCTCGAGCCACTAGGATTATGGTTCGTATGCTCTCTGAGCTTGGCTGGTTGTTTAGAAAGGTTAAGACTTTTATATCCGAGAGTATGGATCGGTTTCCAGCTGAAGAAGTGGGAACTGTTGGGCAAGCGTTTTGTGCGGCATTGCAGGATGAGCTCTCTGATTATTATAAGGTGTTGGCTGTGCTAGAAGCGCAGGCGATGAATCCTATTCCTTTGGTTTCGGAATCAGCCAGCTCAAGCAATTACCTTTCCTTGAGGAGATTGTCTGTATGGTTTGCAGAGCCTATGGTGAAAATGAGATTGATGGCTGTTTTGGTTGACAAATGTAAGGTCTTGAGAGGTGGGGCGATGGCTGGGGCCATCCATTTGCACGCACAGCATGGTGATCCGCTTGTTCATGACTTTATGATGAATTTGCTTCGATGTGTGTGTTCTCCGTTGTTTGAGATGGTGAGAAGTTGGGTTCTAGAAGGGGAGCTGGAAGATACTTTTGGTGAATTCTTTGTCGTAGGTCAGCCAGTTAAAGTCGATTTGCTTTGGAGAGAAGGTTATAAGCTCCACCCAGGGATGCTCCCGTCTTTTATTTCACCGAGTCTAGCTCAGAGAATTCTGAGAACTGGGAAATCTATAAATTTCCTGCGAGTTTGTTGTGATGATCACGGGTGGGCTGATGCAGCTTCAGAAGCAGCAACTGCCTCTGGGACGACGACTAGGCGAGGAGGTCTTGGGTATGGTGAGACAGATGCACTTGAACATCTTGTTACCGAGGCGGCAAAGAGAATCGACAAGCATCTGTTGGATGTTCTATATAAGAGATATAAATTCAAGGAGCACTGTCTTGCGATTAAGCGTTATCTACTACTTGGTCAAGGTGATTTTGTCCAATACTTGATGGATAAGGTAGAACCTGAGCTATCAAAGCCAGCCAATAATATTAGTTCGTTTGAGCTAGCTGGGTTTCTTGAAGCTGCAATACGGGCATCTAATGCGCAGTATGATGACCGTGACATGCTAGACAGACTGAGGGTGAAAATGATGCCTCATGGGAGTGGAGACATAGGCTGGGATGTATTCTCACTGGAATATGAGGCTAGGGCTCCATTAGATACTGTGTTTACTGAGTCTGTTCTGTCCAAATACTTGAGAGTGTTTAATTTTCTCTGGAAGTTGAAAACAGTAGAGCATGCTCTTAGCGGAGTTTGGAAGACCATGAAACCAAATTGCATCACTTCTAATTCATTCGCCAGGCTCCAAACTTCGGTGAAGTTGCAACTGCTCTCAGCCCTGAGGCGGTGCCAGGTTCTGTGGAATGAAATGAACCATTTTGTCACCAACTTTCAGTATTACATCATGTTTGAGGTGTTGGAGGTGTCATGGTCTAACTTCTCAAAAGAAATGGAAGCCGCTAAAGACCTTGATGATCTTTTGGCAGCACATGAGAAGTACCTCAACGCCATCGTTGGAAAATCTCTTCTGGGTGAGCAGTCGCAGACCATCCGCAAATCACTTTTCGTCCTCTTTGAGCTTATATTACGGTTCAGGAGTCTTGCAGACCGTTTGTATGAAGAAATTTACGGGTTGCAAATAAGGTGATTTTTATCTCAAATAAAAGTAGACTTTAAACCTTTGCTTGAACATATTCCTTTGTATCAAGGGTCGCAATTTGATCTTTAATATCTTTGATTGCTTGCAGAACTAAGGAATCAGGACGAGAAAGAAACAAAACGCAAGAGTCAAGTTCATGGATCAGTGAGGGTAGGAAGGGCATTACACAGCGTGCTGGAGAATTTCTTCCAAAAATGAGTCAAGATATGGACAATATTGCAAAGGAATACACATCCTCACTCGATGGATTCCTATCGCTTTTGCCTCTCCAACAATCTGTAGATCTCAAATTCCTCTTCTTCCGGCTTGACTTCACCGAGTTCTACAGCCGGTTGCATTCCAAAGGATAAGGAAGTTGAAAGAGTAATTGGTTTTTAGTTGAAAAGCACAATTCCACAGTAGCAAGAGGAAGAAGACATGGTCTACTTAGACTAACAGCTGACTGCAGCATGGGTTCTTGAACCAGGATTGCAGAGGATCTTTGCTTGAATCTAGTCTAGGTGCTTGGAAGAATCTGTTTCTTGTTTATGCCCTTATTTATGAGACTGCCTTCATAGATGTTCTGTCTCTTGCACAGATTGTTTTTCGATGGCTTTGTCTCAAAGTCTTGGGATTAGGAAACAGATTCTTGTGTTGGTAGAGTGGGGAAGGTTTGTTTTTTGAATTTGTGCCAACAATCTGATAATCTGCAGTTTTAGTTTTCTTTTGGGTTTTTTTTCCATGTGGTTTTTGTAAGCTCTATCCAAGCTTTCGGTGATTTGTATGATTTGTTCTAGACTTGGTTGCTATAAGAAGGAATTGGTTGTTTGATAATATGTGTATTTCCTTACTGTGAATGGCTCCAAGCTCTCTCGAATTTGCTTTTGGATTAGGCAAGAGTTACTGAAGTAAAGACCTTAGTTAGTAGCTGCGACCGGGTCTGTTTTGTCTCATTCTTGGCAGTATTCCCAAGTACTTCAATGTTGCTGCGCTAGGTATGCAAATAAGTCTTGAAATCTAAAGTCAATCGTGTAAAAAAAACATATGTCACGGTTTACTTGCAAGTCAGAGAGATACAATCAGACAACAAAAAGTAAGCTAATGAAAAAAAAACACGTCGCCTGAGAGATTCGAACTCTCGCGGGGAAACCCCATGTACTTAGCAGGCACACGCCTTAACCACTCGGCCAAAGCGACTGTTGTGTTATATCGACGATATTGAAATTAATTAGGTTTTATATGTTCCTGAGTTTCTTACCAGAGGTTAAAAGGTAGTCTGTAGTCTGTAAAAACTAGAAAAACAAAGCTTATAAACTTTTAGTTCTCTTTCCCCATTCCTCAATGTCTAATAGTTGATAAGAAAAAGGGAATATAAAAGCAACTGTACAGATAAACAAAAAGAGGATCAGACATGTTTGTTGATCAATTCTCGGACTTCTTCAATAACAAGCCATCCTTTATGACCTCCTATCACTTCCTCTTTCATCTCTCCTTCCTTCCATAACTGCATTCAACACATCATTCAATTCTCTCTTCCTTACTTTACATTCTTGTTTTCATTTTACTGTTTTAACAACTTTCTTAGTGTCAATTGTCAAATGATGATGCATCTACTGAAATTCAAAAACAATCTGTAAACAAGAAAGCATACCTGAATGGTCGGCATTTTCTGCATATAAACATGAAAATTGCAGAAACCGGTTCAGGTTTGGCAAGATTACCAAAGAAACAGAACTATGTGTGGTTTGTTTAAGCATCTTACCGAAATGTTGCCGCGCTTCACCAATGTCTGAGGGACCTTGTTCACATCCACGTAGTAAAACTTTGTTCTGTTTTCAGCTCACAATATAATCAGACTTTTGCAATCTATAACTATAACACTCTTGTAAATTGTTAATCTTGTGACTAAGTAGCTTACCTGTTATTGTATTCCGCCGCCAGTTTCTCCAACTTAGGCTTCAAGTAAATACATTTCCGACACCAAGAAGCCATCCTGTCCAAATATTCTCACCATATTTCGTAACCAAACATATTATAGAGGCTTCCACAGTTATTCAACTGAGTTGTGGAAAATGAGACTGTAGAGATTGACATAATGATTAAGCAAAAAAAAAATGTTATCTAACCACAGAAAATAAAAACTACATATGCTCTGGACCTGACTCACCTCTAATATAGATTATGGATAATTATATGATGCAAGGTGTGTTTACCATTCGATGATGATAGGCTGAGAAAGCGTTCGTGCGCGAGAGAGAACAGCTTCGAGCTCATCAACGTCGTTAATATGTTCCATCTCAACAGTCTCGGGCTGTGATACGTTTGCCCAAAAGGCTTTTAATCTCCACTCTTTCTCTACTTGTGACCTCCAAAGCTTTTCGTGATTGTAAAGCTTCACACACAACCCAAACTTCCTCTCCAAATTCAAACTCTCTTTCCTCCAGAATTGTTCCTTCTTGTAGTTACTGTGACTTTGTTTCGTTAGCATTTGAGGGTTGGATACCAAAGCTGCCATTTTCTTTTCAAAGAAGATGTATGATGAGATATTTTAAAGTTTTCATATTCTATAATTTAAGATATTTCTTGTTTTGAGAGTTTTTGGAAGAGATGTGAGGAGATGGATAGAGAGCTTATCCAGATGATGAGTTGGAATATGCCAGCGATTAGCTGCTGGTGGGGCCTATCTTCCCCTATTGTTTTTATTTACTGTTTTTTCGCTTAATTTAATAAAAAGTAAGTTTAGCTTTCTAATCAAGAACAAATAAAATCCCCAAGTAAAAGTTAAAACAAATACAGCCAACCCTGTAACAGTCCACTAATCTGGATTCGATGCCTTCAAATCAGACACTAGTCGGTCACAAATTTCCTTATTATAGCCACCGACATGATACCTACTCATTAAAATTAAGTATGCGGTTTCTGAATGATATGCCAATTATGATTTTATTGAAAGTTGATAGTGTGAATGTAACATTATTATTTTTATCTTTCTAGTCATGTGAATATATCATAGTCAGAGAGATAAGCAAGTGGAAGAC